AAGTGTCTTCCTGGATAGGTTGACGTTAGCTGTTTTCTACTCAAACTCGAAGCTGAATACACCCTGGATCTGAAATCAAATCTAGGTATGGACCTGAACTCGCACTCGCAGTTCTCAATGAATTGTAGTATAACTTCATTTCAGTTCCACAGAACTAGATACATAGTGTTAATTATTATTGAGCCTGTCTCTACGAGTTGATGTTTCATAGATTTTTCCTACTTATTTCTATCAATCTTAAAACGTATTTGTCCGATTTTCTCTTATCGTTTTTAACTGAGTTACATATACGTTTGCAAAATTCTATTTGAGAATAGCAGATTTCTTTATAGTGAAATGCTTATCAAAAATGATGAGTAAGTCGACCTGAAAAGATATGTAGTATTAAAAAAAAGATTTTATCAATGTATCAATGCTTGGAAGTTTCTCAATAGAAAAGTAGAAGACAGTGATGATTTCAATTAAACATATTCTCTCTAAATCGTACAATTTAACTCTATATAATCTTTTGTAAATGTGAAGAAAAATTTTAATACACTAATTGTAAGACATACTGTTGAGATAGTAAAAACTTGATCATTGCTAATTGATTTCGAATTATTTGGATAACTATTAAGAAGTTCAACTGAATAAGTAACAAGATCTGAAGATGGATTTGTTATAGTAACATTTTGTGTCTATGTAAATATAAAAAGTTGAAAGACAAGAATATAAATAATAATATTTAATAAACAACGTACTTTAGTTATGTTAATTGACGCAACATGAAAATCGAGAATAATCGGTGTACGAGATAATGATGATGACATATATTCAAGAACAGATGGCCAAATAAAACCAATTGTAACTGGCCACGATATATTAGCTCGATCAGTATAAATCCATATATTCGTTTGAACTCTTGTTAAAAAAAAAAAGAAAAGTAAATATTTAAAAAATAAAAGAATCAATTATTACTGTTGTTGTTGTAGAAGTATTGCCCATTCATTCCAAAGATTTCGTAATTTGGTAACAAGTATATGATCAAGTTCATATGTATTCAATGCTGAAATATGTTCATCCCATCGTTGTTTAAATTCTCGATGATGACTTAAACCACAATAACAAGTTGATTCAGATGGAACATCAATACTTTTGCATAATGGATCCATATCAAAATTCAGTCTGCCAATCTTAGTTAATTAAACATGAAAAAACACTTTTGTTATTGTTTAATAAATTTAAAGTAAGATTGAATGATGTCTACATTAATGATACAATTAGCTAAGTCAGTTCTTTTTTTTCTTAAACGGTAAACTGGAAATTCAGATTCTCCCTTGGTGATCTGTTCGTTCGAAGTTTTCTGAGATTGAAATATCGAAAGATTCCAATATACTTATTAGTCATAATAAAAAACAAAACGTAAAAAACGTTTGACATAGAAACCATAGAATTTCGATCGATATTTTGAAATATGAAAGTAGCAGCCAGAAATGTTCATCATGGCGTGATAATATCTAGAAGTTGATTTACCATCATCGACAGTTAAGGAAAATCTACTTCAATTTTGATCAAATGATTTTATATCATTAAAATTTCCTTTATTAAAATTTCTTGTTCGGAAACTGCTTTCAATTCCTGATACATCATCAGAGATTGAAAAGGCATTTTAGTTACGATGGCATTATATTATATAAGATGAGACAGTGATTATCACCAGCTCAAGTGAATAATATGATTGTCATCAATAGTGCTCGGTAAGTACTAACAAATATAAAACAAGCTGATTTAACAAATCAATAAATAGTTTCTTTGTAAATTACTAGAAAGGAATCAATGAAATATAATAAGTATTTAAATTGAACTTGTGCCAATTTTGCTTTTTTATTAGTAAAAGAGAATAGATAACTTGGAATTTGTTCACATACAAGCAATAGAGCGTGGCATCTTATAGCTAAATATAGTATTCTAGATTATTTCTGTCCCTCGTGAATAATTTATGAAGCCAATGTTCTTTTATACGTTTTAGTTACTCTGTAAAAACTTATAATTCTATGGTCATTGTAGTGGAATTATCGTTGCTTCCTATTTCTATTTACATAAATATTCCTCCTTTTTACATAGAGAGACGCTATGAATTGCTTTTTTTAGTGTCGTCACGATGGTGCCGCGGCTAGCGGAAGATTTCCAGTCACTATGAACATTTTTGGTAACAACTGATCGATTAATATTTTGAAAAAATCTGAATAATGATTGACAATTTGATACCTATATTACGAAATAGAAAATTAAAAAATAAACAAGTATTCTATTTGTCTGTTATGTGTTTAATATTGCGTGACATGGCAGTTCCGCGCACGACAATTGTGTACAAAACTGTGTAGATGTGGGTGTTGGTGGAATGCGGCCGTGACTGTGAGTGTGGCTGGATGTAGGGTGTATTGCTTCTCTTTAGTCACACCCACAACCATACAACGTCCACATCTCACCCATACTCAGACCCACACGCACGCCAATGCTTCCAAATATGTGTGTGACAACTCCAGGTCAGCTTCAGTGAGCTGGAATAGACTTAGGATAGTTCCAGCCTATGAGCTCAGATCAAGACCTATTTCAGAAATTCGGTTGATGAAACTTAGCTATTCGAAGAATTTAAACGTGTTTTTTGGAACACCACGATGCTACAGTCATCCCTAATAGCATGTCTGAGGATGCCTCCAACATCCCTGGTGAAGCCTCTAGCATTCATAGGAATACCTGTAGCATCCTGGTGTTCCAGAAAAAAAACGATTAAATTCTCCGAACAGCTGAGGTGGTGAACAGCTTCACCTCATGCGACCTGGAGCTGTCACATACCTACCCACAAACACTGACGCCCGCACCTTCCGTCATATCCCTATTCAAACATCCGCCTCACACACTTTTACGCGGAACGGTCGGCGAACCTAAAATTGTTATCGAATAGATATATGTATCATCTTTGTTTTTTCATTAAGTATGGAAACTTCCACAGAGAAATGATTTTTAATCTTATAATTGACTTTTTTAATAACGAGTTCTTTAAGTTTCTTTGACAATTTCTATATTAAAAAAGAAATACATTAGATATTTTTATTTTGCATACTTGTTGTATTTTATTTGGTTGAAGTTGAACATGACCCATTGATGTATTATTCCAAATAAATGAAAAACAAATTCCATATGTTATAAAGTCTATACGAGTAACATTGATTGGTTCATCAAATTTATTTTGTAGAAATATATCCGCTGTTCCGATACGATTCTATAGAAATAAAAACTGAAAAACAAAATTCGAAATAAAGAATTTTTTACCGGAAATACATCAATATGTATTGGTTTTTTACTAATAAATTCAAGTGAACCATTAATTATTTCATATTTCACATCTAATTTAAGAGTCTATACAAAAATAAAAAGTAAAAAAAAATCAAAATACATAAATCAAATTAGTTTACTTGATAATGTGTTTCAAACATAATTGATTCACTATAAAATTTCGGTGGATTTGTTCCATTAATTGTTAATAAAAAAATTGCTTGATGTTGTTCAGGAATAACAAGCTTTAAATAAATAGATATATATTTTTTTTTTATTTCTGTTCTTGATATTATCTTACTTGAGAAATATTATTATTTTTATAGAAATTTTTACCAATTATTTTTGTTGTATTTCCATATAATAATTTCATATAATCAAGTTGAATATCAATATTTGGTAAAGTAGAATAAAACCTTTTAATTTCAATATCAATTGGATTTGGATTTGTTAATATAAATGTCACTGTTCGAAACGTATTCATTGGTATACTTGTTATAAGAAGTTCAAATGGATTTCTTTCATCATGTCTAATGCCACCATTGGTATGGTCAGTTAAGAGATTAACCTAAACAAAAGAAAATTGAAACAATCGAATTTATTTTCTAGGAGACGGAGAACACGCTCAAGCTAACTATGAACTATATTCAGTTACTTATAAGCACTTCCACTTACTTGAAAGTACTTCTAAGTCTCTTAATGACATCCTCTAAATACTATATTTCTAGGTTGTTTTATTTCTGACAATTAAAAGTATGACATAAATAACTAAGTATTCCTCAACTCCAGTTAAACAGATACCAATCCACTAATTAGGACTATAACTAGTACATACTTATTAACAAAGTTTGATGTTAACAAGAGAAAAAGCCAAACAAATTATAGTAAGAAATAAATATTGCAATGATTTATGAAACAAAAAATAAAAAATGTAGACGATCATAGGGAGAAAACAGTGCACTTCGAGTCAAAAAGTATTTTAAAGTAAACCTTTCCCGCAATCAAAGACTCATCCATCATAAATAAATAAATTTTTTGCGAAATCGGAACTTTAATTAGTATGTTTACATCAAAATATGCTTAGTTTTCAAGACTTTGAGCTGACAAGCCTTTAAAGACTGAGATCAACATCATTTCTATGCTTTTAAAACCTTATAAATCTCTTTGATTTTATGACGAATCTTGTTAATTAAAAATTCTGAAAATAATTGAGACACAACAGAAGATCTCGCTGAAAAATTTGTACACTTGGACAATATACAAGGACTGAGAGATTTTGAACTATTTTTGTGAAACACAATCTGAAAGAAGTGTTGAAATGTATAGGACTAGAAATTTGAACCCACCATCTTCCTCCCACAGGCCATGACAGACGTTTTTAATACATGATTAGCGATCATATATCACTAATATCTCATGAGAATATATGATCTGGTCTCTTCTTATAGTTCTAGAGGATTACGTAAAAGATGATGAAAAAATGGGTCCTAAAATCGATCGAATAAAACAATATTCTCAGGATTAATAACAACAGCTACATCGTATTTCATATTTTAATCCCGCAGGGATTGCGATAACAGCTTTTATATTTTGACTTACTTTTCGATTTGAAGTACGCCGTTTTCTCTCGTTTCTTTTTTTCACAAAAAACAATGTAATGCCTATTCTCATAACAGCAATTGCTAGATATCTTGATGATAGAAAAGTATAGTTTGATCATGCAATTGAAAACGAACAAGAAATTTTCTATATGCTAAAAAATACTAAAATTATGCTGATTATCAGTTTATTTAAAGAATTAATATCTTCAAAGAATACTGTTGTTGACTTCTTATATTTTCAAATGAAACGAATTGAGCAGTTCAGAGTCTTATTGTATTTTCGAAGAATATTTATCACATGTTATGTTTCAATAACATTAAATACATTCTAACTCATTCGCAGAAAAAAAAGGCATAGCCCCAAAGTGTGAAGCTCCAGTCTTAATGTCGTCTTCTTTCTCATTTCAGAAAATTGAATAGACAATGGCACATATCCTATTATAAACAATACTTTAGAATATATTATTTAATCTTATTGAATAAATAAAGTCAAAATAGTAAGAGAGCAATCATAAGACCATCAACTACACCAGACACTTGATAAAAAAAAGTTTCTTTTCTTTCTTGTGCATTCATTGCGTCAATGTCTGAAACCAACAACTCCAAAATTTTAGCGTCCAATATCCTTTCTTTCAAACGTTCGTTAGTATAGTGACTTTATATCACTATCATGTCCTTATGAGAAAACTAGCAAAAAGTACCTTCTAAAAGTTGTGCTTGTTCTCGTTTCAATGAATCATTGAAATTTTTTCATAAATTACACTAAAAGATAACGAATTAAAAACTGAAGAAAACGAACTATATCAATATAATACATTGTTGATCGATTCAAGTTTCATAAGGCCAACATGAATGAAACATGGTTCTTTCAATAAATCCAAAAAGGCCATTTGATAATCATCTATCTCTTTTATTCTCTACAAAATAATTAATAAATATTCAAAAATAAATTGTATTCTTGGGGGAGGGGGAAACGAGGTTCACATCCCTCTTTTACATAAAGATTTTCGATGATTTTTCGATAGAAAAAAAAATTTTTAGTGGTTTTCACATACCATGACTTTTAGAATCAATGACAAAATCTATATTGAATCCAACACATTTTAGACAAATCTTTTTCCTTCGAAAAACTAATGCTTGGGACCCGCGGACCAAAAGTTTAATAACATACAGCCGTGAAAGACCACAGGTAAATTTTTTCATAGGAACAATTTTCTCTAAAATGTGTTTGAATCAATGTAATTTTTGACACTCATTTCGAATGTCATTTTTCGTTTTGCTTTACAAATTTTTCACAACATTGAAAACTGCTAAAAGTGTTTTTTTTTTCTATTGAAAAGAAATCAAAAACCATTGTGCAAGAATGAGATTTGAATTCTATGTCCCCCTAAGGATACCATTTATTTTTGAATATTTTTTACCATTTTGTAGAGAATAAAAAGTTGTATAACATACATAGAATTCAACTTGGAAATCTCTGACTTTGAATCTCGACAGGATATAAATTGTTGTCAAATGGACGTTTTAGACTTATTGAAAGAACCATTTTTCATTCATGTTGACTTCACAAAACTTGAGTCGATCAACAATGTATTATATATGAAATAGTTCATTTTCTTCATTTTATAATTCTATCTTTTAGTATAATTGATGAAAAAATTTCAATGATTCGTTGAAACGAAAACAAGCACCACTTTTAGAGGATACTTTTTGCTAGTTTTCTCATAAAGATATGATAGTGGTATAAAGTCAGTATTAATTAACATTTGAAAGAAAGATTATTGAACACTAGAACTTCGGGGTTGCTCTTTTCAGACATTGATGCATTGAATGCACAAAAATTAAGGGAAAAAACTATATTTTATCGAATGCTTCGTATATTGACATGATACTCGTTGATCTCATAATTTCTTTCCTATATTCTTTTTTTCTTTCTCGTAAAATAAAACAAATTTGTTGACATAATTTTGTTAACAGTTGTATTACAATTGAAAAATAAAAATGTCTTACGCCGAGAAATCCATTGTATAAATAAATAGGAATAATAAAATTTGAAATATTTGTATGAAGATCAATTTCTGCTTGGATATTAGTAAAAGGTAGAGATGATAGTGATTGTTTAAGATGAGTTATACATAATAATTCACTCCATTGTTCAGGATTTAAGTAAAAAAAAGATGAACGATATTCAATCTATACAAAAAAAAGTATTTCAGTTATTTTCTAATAATTTTTTTTTTTTTTTATTTTATTTTTACTTTAACATATTGTGAAAGTAGTTCTAATTTATTCACTGTTATATTATATACAGAGATTGGTATATTATACTGATTAAGAAGTTTAATAGATTGAGATTGTTTTATATTATCGTTGATTAATTTACGATCTGATGATGGAATATAAAAAAAAGTGTCTTCTTTTTTATAATGAAGTGATCCATGTAAAATTGTTTCATGAAAAGGTATTTCTAATGCAGGTTCTTCGTTATTCGATGATGTGTATACTTGAACATAACCATATATATGATGAATATAATTGGATATCAAATTTGGATGAATAGTTACATCAGCTATTTGATTCAAACGATGAATATCAGAAGGAATTGGAAGACTTTTAAAATGAACAGTTATATAATTTCTATGTTCCGATGTCACACGAACATCCTAAAAGAAAATAGACTATTGAAAATGAATTTTACTAGGAGGATATTCATTTTTAAATTTTCCATATAGATTTCAATTGGAAAGGTTGGTCAAAAAACAAAGTTAGATTTAACTAACAGTGCAGGCAGATATATGAGGAAAGGCTCACTGAATAACTCTTTAGAAACCTTGTTAGAAGTGAAGAGAAGAGCATCGAAACTAAATCAGGTTATTCTTAATCAGATTCAGACAAATATTTTCATTTAAAGTCATGAAAATTCATTCTATTAAGATATAATTGTATCTCAATACAGTATCTAACTTTTGAATAACTCATGAAATAATTGATCCTTGAAAAAAAAATTTAATAAATTTGATCATCATTAAGATTGTTCTATCTGTCATACTTCTGTTGACTGAGAATTTTATCATACTTTTTTTATTATTACTTCAGAAAAGATCTAACGAAGGAACGTTTCTAAGTGTCAAATTGCTTTTGAGTCATGGCTATGTGTATCGTGGAGGTTCTAATCAACTATAAATACCCTGAAAAGAGTGCAGGCTAATGGCTTATTACTGCCGAGATACTATATTTTAATGGTATTTTTTAGCAGAATATCCTGATCTTCCTCAAGAATACCAAGAAAAACTGTGTTTCGAATTTCAACTTGAAACTTCATTGAGAGACACATCTTAATGAGAATAGTTTATTGTAAAAATTTTCGATCTTTCGATTACTTCTATTTTAAGACATAGCTATGATAAAAGCATATCTTTCAAGCCACTCATATACAATGGCTAATCTCGATGTTCTTATTTCAGAATTAGGCGCAATCAAAAAATCTTTAACGTATACAATAAGCTATTTTCGTTAAGATCTATCTTTGTGCAAAGTTTCAAGTTGAAATTCAAAACTTAGTTTTCTTGATGTTTCTGAGAGAGATCGCGCCACTCTGCTCAAAAATACGATTAGAATACAATATCTCGTCAGTAATAAGCTATTAGCTCAAACTTTTTTCAGAGTATTCGAAGCTCATTATAACTTACATTATGTACATAGTCTCAATTCAAAAGTGATTTGACATTTTGAAAAGTTCCCTTGTAAGATAGGTTGTTGTTTTCTTTTTTGTTACTAACTTTTAGATAATTTCTAAGGTTTCGTCTCACTAGATAAAGAAGTACTAGCTTACAGTGATCATAATCGGATTTAAACCATTATTGAATACATAAAGTGGTATTGTTATTGGTTGCGTTGATGAAAGTATAAATCTATGATCAGTAAATTCTAATAAATCAACATTTGAATAAAGACCTGAACGATTTAAAACATTTATGTCCACCGGTATAATAATAATATCACTAAAATTTGTTTTAATACAAACATAACCATGTAATTTATTTAATTTATATGCAAAATAATTTATTTTAATAATCGGTTTCATTTCATAAGGTTTTAAATGCCATTGTTCATAATGTTCAAATGTTTTTGTTATTCTGTTCTTGATATTTCTATTTGATAAAAATTCAATAATTAAATTTTCATCACTCGTATAAATTTCATTTATGTCTAATGAATAATTATATGGATTATAAAATTGAATTGTATATTCATATGTAGAATTCAATGGTATTATTCCATTAACTAATGGACGTAAACGAAATGGATTTGGTTTACCAATACCACTGACCTTTAAATAATTAAAGATTATTATTTAGAAAAATAAATTATTTAAATTATTTATTTACATTATAATAAAAATTCCCCCGATTCGTTTTTATTGTAAATATACTATTTGTAATACCAATTGTTCTTGGTAAATAATAAACGTTTATTGATGTTTTACCACCATAAGGTGGAAGAACATTTTGTTTAAAAACTGATGAATAAAATTGATTGGTTGTTCCTACTAATGAATAAAGTTCAAGTGGTTGAGAATCATCATTAATTATAATAATTGTTTGCATTTGAGGTATAGCTATTGATCTTTATTTTATATTAAATTAATTTCTATTAGAGTTTATATTGAATAAAACTTACTGTTCAGAAAAATTTAATAAAGAAGGAATAAAACGAATTGATGTTGAAGTATGTACTATAGGTATTTCATTATCAACTTTTTTATTTGTTTTTAATTCATCATCGTAAGATGTTACTAGAGCCATAAGAAGTTCTTTTTCTTCATTATCATTTATATTTTCTTCAATATTCTTCAAAAAGAAAAAGATAAAAAATAAGATATTTTAAGAATAAATATAAAACTTACAGCAATTTGATGATCTGAGGAATCAACAACATGAATGGAATCCATTGATAATTGAATAATTGCTAAAAAATTAATTAAAGGATTAATTTTTTAAAAAATCAGAAAATCAATTAAAACCTTCATTATCCCTTAAGTCATTATTAAGTCCACTGATTATCGTTAAAAATGCTGTACATATATGTAATATAAAGAGAAAATATAAAAAATAAAAACCACCAAATAAAGTTTGTCGATTGGTTTGATTTTTTATAAATAACATTGTTAAAGATCTATTTAAGACAAAAGTAATAAAATTAATTAAATAAATTATATCATCTAAAAGAATAATAAGAGATTAATGATCCGATTTTTCGCGATACTCTTTTTTATTATTATCGTACATAGACGACACATGGCCTTAATTGAGGATGAGAAGTGAACGTGCTCAAGCGTAACGTAATATAAAATATTTCGTATATACCAGTATGCTCTGTTCTCTTACAAACGTTAGCTAAGGAAAACTTCTTGTTCAATTTGGATTGGAGTAAATAAAACGACCAATTGTTTATAAAAGTTTGACAGGTAATATGATGAGGGCGCTAGTCGAACAAAATCAACAGTCTATTCACAGATACAATCATCGATCAAAGGAAGAAAACTGTCGACATACATATCAGTTCTAAAAGATATTCAGAGCATAATAAAATTGATTGACTCGAAAATTGTAAATATAATTGCTTATTTCAGGTAATATGTAAAAGAATTACTTCAACTTCAATTGAAATAAAGAATATGCGTACCATTTTTTGCGTACTATATCATGACTCATAATATAAAAATTCAATCAGTAAATAAACATTCATTCGTAACATTTGAAAATAAAATTTATCTTTTACTGATTCGGTCCAGTAGAATATTTAGAATCAGTTAGCTTTTCAGGCACTGAAATGAATTCATCTGTACTCATTTTTAATGATTTTCCATTGCTCAATGGCCGAGAAAAATAGTCTTGAAATTCAGAGCTGGTGTTCTGCACGAGTACGACTTTTCGCAACCGAATCGGAATCAGTACTTTTTTTTTATATAAAAATCCAAACCAGATCCGGATAGATGTGTCGGATATCGGACCGGAGCTACTATACATCCAGTACATACTTTCACATTCACAGTCCTGCTTTTAAATTTTTGTTTGTGTGAAAAAGTACACTATCTAATTTTTTCTATAAACAGCAACAGAAAAAAGAAGATGTCACCTCAAAATTCCACAAAAAAGCATGTGACTCAGGATTCGCTTGACATTTCTCTGCTTCTAAAATCCGATCAATTTCTCTAACTCTAAATTTGCTTGTTGCTCATGATGCTACAATGGGACGCAGTATTGGTGCCAAACGTCATATTTGTGGATACATACATGTTCATTCTATGCTTTTATACAAATTAGCACTTTGAAAAAGTAAAAATATTCTGTAATTCTGTGGTCTCAATAATTACTGGATCAGGCCCAGGCATGAGATCATACTCAGGATATGAACCAACGTTTTTCTTCATGTTTGGCACCCCAAGCCGATCTGGCTAGACTGGACCCGGACCCATGCTTCGAGTTCAAATTGGTGCTGGATATCTAGCTCAGTTCCAAGACACTATTTAGAGCTAACAAAGTTTTAATTGTTATGATAGAAATTTTAATTCTAATCTTTGTACTCGCTTTTCTCTATCGCATTATGAGAGATCTTGGATAATATTGAATGCATTAATGACGTTCAACGAAAAATGACCAGCTATTTGGAACTTGAATTTACACTAACCTAGGAATTTCTTCGTCTCGAAATTTCGAACTCACTATGAATTGCTCTTGAGGAACTGTCGAAACTTTCAATAGACAATATTTCTCAATTGATATTTTTCTTATCTATAAACAAAGAAAAAGAATTCATTTGTTTTATGGAACTTTTGTGATAATTACTAGTCTGATGTAAATGTAAAGATATCTAAGCCTTGAGAAATCTAAAAATATGAAATCCTGTTCACAAACTGAACTTTGTGACTCATTTTTTTTCTTCTTCTGATAACCGTCATCTTATAATAGTTAAGAAGCCGATTGGTGTTATTAAGTAATGATTTCAAATAAGAAAATATCCAATTTTTTAATTCTTGTAAACAAATGTATCCATCAAAGAAAACGAGTCAAAATAAATAACATAGTTTTATATCAATGCCCTGTGAGTTATCCGATGAACAGTTTTAAGACTGTTGTTCTCACGCTTCTAATATTAGAGTATATGGAACACAACATACTAAAATAGAAATAGGTCTTATAAGAAAGCCCAAGAGTTACATAAATACTACAATTTATCTCTTCGTGTAGTTATGCTACTATGCCTTTCTCAAAATAACTAATTCGCTAATTGATATATAAAACAGACCGGTTTTTGACCGATTGAATGATGTAATTGTGAACCAACCAATTTTTCGCTAAAATGGTGGTTTTTCTTATACTTGAACTGATTGAAAATGAATAATTGAATAGTGCATATTGTAGTCATCATTAAATGAATTTTAGATATGTTGACGGTCAAACGATACTTTTAATGTTTGTCTTATCTTCTGTCTTTATAATATATTACTCTTCAAAGTATAACCTGATTCAATTCCTCTTTAAGAGAAAATAACTGGTTTTCTTTAAAAAACTGCAAACAAAACTTTGCTTTTACGTAGGCAATTGCTTCCATCGATTGATTAATAATGTTAACTATCCACAACGGTGTGCTAGAAAAATGTCTTAAATTTAACCTATTTTGAAAAAAAAACATTCAAAATATTTGAATAATAAAGACTATAACCATTGATAATTCGAATCAAAATTCAACAATTTATATGTATACGTAAGCTCTATCACTTATAATGCCTTTGTGCAATACTATGTAAAAAACATCTTAATAGCATCCTTAAAACTTTACTCAGTACATCAAAATGACTTTTTTTAACAGTACATTAATGAATAAGATTTTTCATGCTGTAAAAAAATCCAAAATCGACGTCCGACATGTCTTTTTTGTGGTTCTTTTATTTTAACATCGGATAACTAAAAAGAAATCTTTACGGTGTTCTTAAAAACTTCATCATTTGATTATATAGTACATACTAAAATTTATGTTCAACATTTGTATTTATAGACTATAAAGGGATTATTACATGACATAAATAGAAATCCATCAATGTTTGACATTGATTGCATGTTTTGTCGGGGTTATTAATTTTTCTCTGAATGATCTTTTTCTATGATGATCGATTTTTTTCAGCAATCTGTGATCATTATCTACTATTAACATCCATTTGATTGATCTTCTATATAGATATTCTTTGATCATTGTTACATTAATTTTCACAGTTGCATGATAAACTCTATCATTATTTTTCTTTTTGAATATAATCATCACGTATATTCAAATACATCTATCATCAACGATCATTTCTCGTATAAATATTAGTTTTAACATTGACTATCTATTCTTACTATCAATTTCATTTTAAATTATACTTCAATAAATTGAAAATTTTTATTGAAAAGAAAGAAAATTTCTATTAGATACAATCATCGATTTAGGATGCGACACATATATAGATGAAAAATATTGTCAATGCAATATACTCCTGTCCATTTTTCTTTTCTATCAAATGACTAGAAAACGACATAAAAACTTATCATGTGTCATCAATGATTACCATATTTCAAGTGACATTTATTCATCACTTACCTATAATTAAAGACATAAATCAAGGACATGATTATAATCAATTCATTTTTGATTATGAGCAATGTTTAATTTTGCTAAATAGAAGAAGACAACGACAAAAAATACTATAACAAATCTTTTCGATGGAAAAAAACAAAACAAGAATAGTATGCAACGAGAACAATGACAGAAATACAAAACAAATGTGAGAGATGATCAAACTACTGTTAGATTAAAAAAAAAGAGAGAAAATAAGATTATAAATGTGTGTATATGTGTGCAAATGAAAAATACCATCGTCTTCTTTCTACTGATATGAGATAAACATCTTGAATAATGTATATCAAATGCCAAAAAGCTTGATCAAGAAAAAAAACCAAGAAAAACTACATCAAGAATATTTTTACATATAAAGCAAAAAAAAAAGCTCAAAAACTATTAGTTTTTTATTTGATAGTAATTGTTTTTTCGGCAACAATCTAAATAAATAAAAAATGAATTACGTAAATAAAAGAAAAAAGATATATATGTATTTAACTTACACGTCCATCTGCATCTTCTAAAATTGTTTTTTTAGTTTCATTACCAGCTGTAAACCATTTAGTTGTACGTAATTTTAAATTTGTTGGTGGATCAACTGATATATCATTAACATCCGAACTCCAAATCTAAAAATAAAATTTACTCAAAATAAAAAAAAATATTTTATTCTTACTGTTGTTGTAGCACCAGCTTTCAAAGTCATTCCTCTAGGAAATTTAAATTCATATGATTGTGAACCAACTTTACGTTTAAGTATCCATCCATTTAAATTGATTTCTTGATTTGAATTATTAATTAATTTAACAAATTTTGGATGTGAACTATCATCATCAATTATATTAATACCATCAAGTAAATGACTATGTATTGATAATCGTTCATCCGGTTCATAACGTAGACGTTTACGTGATGGATATGTACTACTGTCCAATGTTCTACTTGATGTTGTTGTTACACCAGCACCATCAGAATATGACCTGTCACCACCAATACGACTTGAACTACCCGATATATTAAGTCTTTAAAATTTCAAAATTAAAATTTTATATTGAAAAAAAAACGAATTTATTTACCGTTCTTCTTCCGATTCAAGTAATTTTCTATATGTTGCAATTTCTCTATCAAGACCTATTTTAATATCAAGTAAATTTTGATAATCAATTTGCATTTGTTCAATTTGTTGTTTTAAACGTTGTAACTCATCTTCACGTTCAGCTAATAATTCATCTTGTCGTTGTTGTGCACGATGAAGACGATCTTCCAAATCACGACAACGTTGTTCAAGAGATAAAACTTTATCATTTAATGCATCACGAGCTTTAGTCATATCTTCAATACGTTCACGATAGGATGCAACATCAGATCTATATGAACCAAATTGATCAGCATTACGACGAATCGTATTTTTTAAATCTTCAATTTTTTGTTCATATTGTCCAGCTATTTCATCACGTATGGATTGCAGTTCTTGATCAGTTTGCATACGTAATTGTTGTAATTCATG